ACCGGTATTGCTTCGTTCACGTATTGCTGAATCCCATTGTTTAAAATTTCTATAAAATTTGACCTTGAAACCACCATTATGGGTGCCGGGTCAGGGCCGGATTAAAACGTATCAAAAAATTTCCAGAAAATAAACTTTTGCTAGACAGGGTCGTATTAAAAAATACTGTAATTGACTGAAACTGAATTTTATTTACACAATACTTTTATCTAAACAAATGAATCGTTAACCGCGCATACTCCTCAAAAAGTAAAAATGAAAAAATCAATTAAACATTTAACTTTAGAGAATAGACAATTAAAATTAAAAAACATGCCAGGAGTTCAGGAGTTACAAACAAGAATTAAAGAGATACCCAATAAATTATCTATTGAAAAATCTAAAGAGGCTACGTACAAATTATGTTCATCAATAGACATAGCAAATTTTGTTAATATTCAAATTGCACAAATTAACAAATCAGCTAAAGGAAGAAAAGTAACTGATGAATTTAAATATAAATGTTTATATTTTTAAAAAGCCAAGCCGTCAAAAAAATTTGAGCCGTCAAATTTGACAGCTGTCAAAAATTTCAAAGTTGTCCGAGTTTGATAAAAATCGATATATAGGATGGCCATGGGCTAAAATGAAAGAAAAAAAATTGAGCTGTCAATTTAACAGCTGTCAAAAAAAGTTCTATGTTGTCCGATTTTGATAAAATCTATATATAGATAATACATGGGTTAAAAGGAAAGAAAAAAAAATTGAGCTGTCAAATTTGACAGCTGTCAAAAATCTCAAATTGTCGATTTTTATAAAAATCAGTTTTTTTTTTTTTTAATATGTAAAGTGTTTTCATTTATTTGTCTCACAATTGAACTGTCAAATTTGACAGCTGTCCTTTTTTTAAGTTCTCTTTTTTAATGAAAATCGATACGCATAATATTAGGATGCCCATAGGTAGTTATTTAAGAAAAAATTGAGTTTGTGTGTGGCACTGAGAAACCAGCATAACTTAAAAGTAAAAAATAAATTTAAGAAAAAAACTTTTTTAAAACAAGCTTTTATTTTAAAACATGCATTAAAAAGAGAAAAAAAAAAAAACTTTTCTTTTTTTTTTTTTTCGACTTTATTATGTCATTACACAATTTTATATTATATAAGCTTAGCGACAAGCGATTTGAGTGTACAGTTGCACTCATAAAAATCTGGTACAACTTTATCTTGTAATTAGTTATCTAGTAATTCTTCTAATTCCAATATATTGTAAACCTGTCATTATTCCTATCCAGGATAAATTCATCCAGTTTAGAAGAACATTTAAAAACTTTGTGTCCGAATATATACGGGTACTGAAATTTGCCAAAATGATCTGGCAAACATCTTATTAAAAACAGCAGACCTTAATAATTAAAAAAAAAACGAGAGACTTCTTTTTCTTTTCTCTCTGAATTGTCATGAGCTATCCATAAAAATTGAAGATAGATACGGATAATCAGAAAAACAGTAATTTAGAAATTAATCTTGTTTGTCATTTTTGCAGGATATAATAATAAAAATTCCTTTGAATGCCGTAGACAATGACTGAGTATTAAAAACTAAAAGAATTTCAGACTTCCATTGTACTACTAAACTACATAAACCAAATATATCACACAATAAACAAAAATAAAACTAAAAAAACAAAATATATACTCAAAGAAAAGAATAAAATAAATTAAACCGCACGCTACTGACTCAAAGCTGCCGTAACTATGTTCTCGACAGGGTTCGGAAGTAGTTAACTAAGACATAATTTACCTGATTAACTACGTGTAGTTTTTCTTCAAAAACTTCGTCTTTTTCCGTTCATTAACTTCGCTGAAAACTTCGTTAATAAACTATGTAATTGATAAACATGAATATTTTTCCCTTTGTATGAGGTGTAATAGAGATAATATGATGTAAATATTATATTTAAAGCCATATTTCTTCTTCTTTTCTTAAATACATTATGTGTTTAAAACCTCAACTTATTATAACCTCACCTCAAACCTTTGACATTTGAAAGTTACATACATAGGTTACATAAACTACACCCTCTACATAAACTTCATTAACTTCCCTTTGATGGTAGTTTATCATGATTTTCAAAAAATAACATGTAGTTTTCGAACCTAGTTCTCGATGACAAAGACTACGACTGACTACGACACTGGTTAATTTCTGTCGCTGGCACCCATAATGGCGGTGTGCGCAAGGGTATGCGCGCAGCGTTCCCGCCAAAGCGAGTTGGCCTGCCGTGTGGCACGCCGCCATTATGGGTGCCAGCGACAGAAATTAACCAGTGTCGTAGTCCGGTAAACAATCTTCAATATCGACTTAACTGCTCCGGATACGGCAGCCATTTCCGCAATTGTTACATTTTGAACATTGTGTGATATATTTGGTTTTGTAACTGAAGCCAGTAGATATCGAAGCTCTTTGGTTTAATACTCGGTCATTGTCTATTATTAGGTATGCAAACTGTTCAAACAGATATTTCTAAATTACTGTTTTTTTTTATGGATAGCTCATGAGAATTCAGAGAGAAAGGAAAAGAGGTCTCGTTTTTTTATAAGACATAGGTTTTTGCCAGATCGTTACAACGTTTTCAGCTCTTATATTCGGACACAAAAGACACAAATGTGGCTAAACTGGATGATTATCCTGATAATGATAGATTTACAAGATATTGGAATTACAAGAATTACAAGATAAAGTTGTACCAGATTTTTATGAGTGCAACTGTACACTCATATCTCGCGACAAGCGATATATGAGTGTATGTGATATAATATAAAATTGTGTAATGACATAATAAAAGTTTTAAAAAAAAGTTTATTTTTTCTTTTTAATGTATTTAAATAAAAGCTTGTTTGTAAAAAGTTTTTTTCTTAAATTTATTTTACTTTTGAATTATGCTGAACTCTCAGTACCACTGGTGCTGTATGGACATCAATATGACCAATATAGATTTTCATAAAAAACGGAGAACTTAAAAAACGATAGCTGTCAAATTTGACAGTTATGTTAAATAATGAACAAATAAAATGGCTATAGGCAGAGGAAGCATCAATATCATTTTTATCAAATCAGTTTTAACTAAGCCACGACACCTGTTAAATTGACGGCTCAATTTTTTCTTTCACAACATGGCCATCAAATCAGACAGCAGCCTGAGCACGACGGCTGTTAGAAGGCTGACAGCTATTTCTTTCGGCCTAACCGCATTTATCAAAAATCGAACAACTTTAAGCCTGACAACTGTCAAAACTGGCTTTAACTTTAAAAATATAGTCAAACATTTATATATAAATTCATCCAGTTGCTTTTCTTCCTTTAGCTGATTTGTTAATTTATGAAAACCCGTTTTTATAATTCAATATTATA